GCAGATCAATAGATGAAGTGGTGAAACTTCATCAGTTGAGGTGGTTGGGACATGTGTTACGTATGGTTAACCACCGACTGCCTCGACGAGCTACGTTTTGTGGTGTAGGAGCAGGTTGGAAGAAAGCTAGGGGCGGCCAGATCAAAATATGGCACAAATCCATGAAATCACTGACAAGTGGACTGAGTCATGTTGGTAGATGTAGGCTACCTGGTTGGGGTCCGCGAGACGAAGTCAGATGCAACGTAGAACTTTGTACGTAAGTACATCAGTTCATGTCGCCATACCACATCAGCACAGAGAACTAATCGTCAATTCAAATCCAATAGTAGAAGAGGTAGTAAGGGAATTAGAAATAATCGGAGAGGTTAGGATTAGAAGATACTACTCAAGAAGTATGATTCAGTGAGAAAAGTTTAGAGAGTCGAAACTAGAGGTGTTGAAGAATCCAGAAGATTAGCATTTGGGAGAACACAGAGAATAAATGCACTGGCGCCATTGCGAACGATTTTGAGCCATGTCATTCAAGGTCTCTAACCATCGATTATTATCATCTCGCGGACCCCAACCAGGTAGTCGACAATTACCGACATGGCTCAGTCCACTCGTCAATGACTTCATGGATTTCTGCCATGTTTTGGTTTGGCCGCCTCTAACTTTCTTCCAAACTACTCCTACACTACGAAACAAAGCTCTTCGAGGCAGTCGGTGGTTGGGCATACGCAACACATGTCCCAACCACCTCAACTGGTGAAGTTTCAATACTTCATCGATTGATCTGCCATTCTTACCTAGCACCCGATTCCTAATAACAGCGTTGCTCACTCGGGTGTCCCAGGATATACGAGCAATGCTTTGAAGACACCTATGATCGAAAACCAGTAACCTACGAATATCTTCTACTCTCACTGGCCATGTTTCACAGCCATAAAGTAAGACGGAGCGAACTACTGCACAGTACACTCGTCCTTTAGTCAGCAAACGGATATCTCGCCTACGCCATAAGTGACGCAGGTTGGCAAAAGCCAATCGAGCCTTCTGTATCCGAGCTGAGATTTCGTCAGTCACCAGGCCATCGGCACTGATGAGACTCCCAAGATAAGTGAAGCGGTCTACACGTTCAACCACTTCACTCCCTATCACTAGTTCAGGTGCCAATGCAACCCAGTCTTGAAGCAACATTTTGCATTTCGAGGGGGAAAACCGCATCCCGAACATGCTTGCATTGTTGCTTAGGGTAGTCAGAAGACTCTGCATTTTGTCAGCGTCTTCACCAAGTAGGACAATGTCATCGGCATATTCTAAGTCAATAAGCGAGCCACCTGGAAGAAGGTCTACTCCTGAAAATTCAGACGAGGATAATGTTATGTCTAGGAGCATGTCTATGATAAAATTAAACAAGAATGGAGAAAGTGGACAGCCCTGACGGACACCACTTGATGTAGAGAATTCCGGTGACAGTTCGCCATAAGCTCTCACCCGACCAGTGGTGTTCGAGTAAAGAGCTTGTATAAGGTTAATGTACTTCTGTGGTACACCTTTCAATGACAGACACTGCCACAGAACCTCACGATCAACAGAGTCAAATGCCGCCTTAAGGTCTAGGAAAACAACTATTGTAGGACGCCTAAATGTGTGTCTATGTTCCAGGACCTGTCTGAGTGTGAAGACGTGGTCTATACAGCCACGTCCAGGTCGAAAACCAGCCTGGTTTTCTCGAGTCTGCTCTTCACGAGCTTTCGTTAAGCGTCGAAGTATTATTGAGGCCAATATTTAAGATACTATATTAGTTAGACTTATTCCTCTGTGATTGTCACAAGAAGACTTTTGTCCTTTCTTATAGATTGGGACTATCAAGGATTGAGACCAGTCGGATGGGATTACGTCCAGTTCCCAGATTTTACCTAAGATCTCAGTCAACCTAGCTGCTAAAACTGGACCACCATCCTTAAATATCTCAGGGGTCAGTCTATCAGGACCTGCAGCTCGTCCTCGCTTCAGATTTCCTAACGCTTTCTCAACGTCATAAAGACTAGGGGGACTTACGTCGATTTGCCATTCAGGATGACTGCAGACGAAAATCACCAATGGTTAGAGACCTTGAACGACATGGCTCAGAATCGTTTGCGATGGCGCAGGTGCATCTACTCTTTGTGTTCTATGAAATTCTAAGCTTCTGCATGCCTCATAATCTCTACCTTTCTCCTTCTAAATTTATCTTACTGAATTACACTTATCGAATCATATCTTCGCTCCCTAATCTTCTCCATTACTGCTAATACTTCTATTATTGCTATCGCTCTTGGATTTGAGCTGGCAGTTGCGTCTCTGTGCTGATGGGTCATGGCAACCTGAACTGATGCACTTACGTACGAAGTTCTGCGTTGTATCTGTCTGTCTAACAAGAAAGAAGTTCGTACTCCAGATTATTGAGTTAATAATTTTCAAAGTGCATTTCATCTCTTATTTTGCAAGTGACATAGAATAAGGTTTTAATGTAACTAAAAGTTACTTTATTTAAACTGTTGCAATGAACGTAGAAAAACCTCTCATTGAAATTTTGAATTCTAGGGAAAACCAGTCGCTTTTATTACTACTATCGAGTCGAGAGTAAACTACTGGCGTACTACTGTATTTTACAAAGTCGGTCTATATTTCGGTTATTATCAGACAATATTTACTCTTAACCTCCAAAATAAGTTTTGAGTCTATCAGCTACAACGAACACTGATAGTTTGGATATCATACTACTAAGTTGATTTTGGACATCTGATAAATATTTCTTCAACACACTGATACAGTATGTATTTGTAACAGAAAACAGTGCATAATCTTGGACCTGGATAATAATAAATTGAGACTAGCTACTTGTGAATTTTTCTAAAAGGGCGTTTATTTCATTTAATTTGTAAATCTATGGGGTAAGCTCGAAACTGATAAACCGACAAGTACCTTAAACTCTTAGGCACAGTTTCATACTACATTTTAATCAATATACAAGGTTGATTGAAAAGAATGTTCAGACGTTTAAAACAACCATAAGTTTTACCACTAAGGATAGAAGATATTCGAAGGTTACTAGTACCAGATCATCGTTGTCTTCGAAGCATTGCTCGTACGTATAACCTGGGACCATCGAGTAATCAATGCTGGTGTTAGGAAAAGGGTACCAGGTAGGGACGGCAAATCAATTAATGAAGTAGCAAATTTCCATCGGTTGAGGAGGATGGGACATGTAATGTGTATCTCTAATCACCGACGAGGCGTGGTACCTGACGTAGGGATGGGCAAACGAAAACATGGCACCAGTCCATGAAGTCACTGACAAATAGAGTGAGACATGTTATCAGGTGTAGACTACCTGGTTAGAGTCCGCGAAACAATGGTACCCGGTGTTTCATCTTTTTAAATTTATTTCACTGGGATATACTTCTTGAATCATATCTTCGATTACCGCTACAACCTCTACTACTATTTGATTTGAATTGACAATTCCATTTGTGTGCTAATAGGGTGTGACAACTTGAACTGATGTACGTACATACCAAGTTCTAGATTGTAGCTGGGTGACCACTGGCACTTGATGAAACTGTTCACAATAAGCTTCTTATCCTGCTAAGAGAGTTAGTTATCTTGATAAACTTCAAATATATACCTAAATCCATATATTTCTTGGCAAAGTTGTCCGTTATAAAAAAACTTCATATTTAAATGGGTAGTTTGTGTACGTTTACAAGACTTTCTACAAACGAACACCGCCATCTCTGTAGAACCATTGCGCATCTGTCTTATCCTGCCACATTCACACACGAAATCAAATTCAAAAGTTTCAGATTATATATAGCAAGATATTATTGAGCCATGAAGTTGAAATCCACCCCCCTTACTTTATTCACTGTGTAATATATATATACGTACATCACCCGTCATCGTTCAAGATTGTAGGCAAACAATTCATGACATGACATGAAACAACTAATGTTCTTATAAGTTCTTTCCATAATGTAACTGAAATTTGAACACTCGAATTACGTTGTTAGTGGGACATAGATGGAATTAAAGCATGACTACGCTGCTACGCGCTGATTGGCTAATTTCCTATCCAACCAGCGCCTGATCGAGTCTTGGAGAACAGGATATAAGATTCTCGTACTGTTAGCTTCACGCTGATTGGCCAAATCTGATCCAGTCGATCACGTGAATTTCTATCCAGAAGCTTCTCATGTAAATGCTGTAAATGGACTAACGTTGTATCTATTTTCGCCTTCGCCATCACCTCTGGCTTCTTATTTCCATCTAACCTTGCAATTTGGAATATAATCTTTTCCTGTTCAACCGTATTTTTGGTTCTTGGGAACTTGTCCAGTGTATTGTATGGTCAGAGAATACTAAGCAATAGGATTTAGCTGGGAATTATTTAAGCAAGCGGTTACAACATATGTTTATCTCAATAAAATTACTGATCAGAACATTTCTTAATAATTAAATAAACCTTTGGTTTGGTTCTAGTCACGTATAGTTAGTTATTCAAGAATAAAGGTAGTACAGTTTCACACATTTACAATCACAGTAACAGAAAAACCCAATAAATAATAAATCAGTACAACGTAATAGGAAAAAGAAGAAAAGACAATTTTATATTGACTTATTAAAATATACAGTATAACTATCCTTTTACTGTTTTATACCATAACAAACGTGAATTAGTTTTTTTTTTTTGAGAAGATAGCAAAACATAAGCAACAGTAATAATAGTAATAATAATAATAATAATAGTAACATTTCAAGGATTATATTTATATTTGTCAAAACATTCATATATATATATATAATGGAATCCCATTGGCTTTTCTTGTTTTACTCCTCTTATTTCTTTTCTTCAAGATAAGCAAAATCTTGATGTGAATGTTGGTTACCTATACTATACTATACTATACTGCCATTTTTACGGACAAAAATTTCTCCTGATGATTATTCATTCATAAAAATTATTGATTTAGTTAGAACCATTGAGGCTGTTGTTGCTGTTGATGCTGTTGTTGATGATGATGCTGATGTATAGTTTGTTCATGAGGAAGATGTAATCCAATTGGATTGATTACATCAGATGATGATAATAAATAAATAAGATCAGTAGGTGCTTCTGATTCTTTACGTGCTAATGGAGCAGGTTGATGATCATATGGTAATAGTGATGAATTTAGCTATAAAAAAACAAACAACAACAGTTGACAAAAAAAAAAGAAAGATCTCAATAGTTCAGATTTGACAATTACAAACTACTTATCTACGCATCGTTTTGTGATGAAGAGGGACGTAAATGATCTCTTTTTCCTACGTACTTACTTACTTACGCCTGTTACCCCCAATGGAGCATAGGCCGCCCACCAGTTTTCTCCAACCAACTCTATCCTGAGCTTCCTTTTTCAGTTCTGTCCAATGTTTGTTCATTCCTCTCATGTCTTTCTCTATTTCTCGGCGTAATATGTTCCTTGGTCTTCCTTTTTTCCTTTTGCCTTGAGAGTTCCATGTGAGGGCTTGTCTCGTGACGCAGTTAGGTGCTTTTCGTAGTGTGTGTCTTATCCGCTTTTTCCTGATTTCCTCCTCCACTGGAACCTGGTTTATTTTCTTCCACAGTACGTTGTTACTGATGGTGGTCTGGCCAACGAATACGAAGTATTTTGCGTAGACAACTGTTAATAAACACTTGTATCTTCTGGATGATGGCTTTTGTAGTTCTCCAAGTTTCCTCTCCATACAGTAGAACTGTTTTGACATTTGTATTGAAAATCCTGATTTTGGTTTTGGTTGAAAGTTGTTTGCAGTTCCAGATATTTTTCAACTGTAGAAATGCAACCCTTGCTTTGCCGATCCGCGCCATCACATCTCCATCGGATCCGCCTTTCTCGTCGATGATGCTGCCCAGATATGTAAAGGTGTTAACGTCCTCCAAGGCATCTCCATCAAGCGTGATTTGATTGGTGCATGTTGTGTTGCATCGGAGAATTTTGCTTTTTCCTTTATGTATGTTGAGACCTACTGCTGCAGAGGCTGCTGCTACACTGGTCATCTTCTCTTGCATTTTTTGTTTCGTGTGAGATAGAAGAGCCAGGTCATCTGCGAAGTCCAGATCGTCCAGCTGCGTCCTAGCTATCCACTGAATACCGTGCTTCCCTCCAGATGTCGACGTCTTCATAATCCAGTCGATCACCTAGGTTACATTTAATCAGTCAGTCAACAAAAGCATAGAACTTCGTACGTACGTACATAAGTCCAGGTTATGATACCAAACATTAGCACAGAGATATGCAATTGTCACTTCAAATCCCATAGTAGTAGAGGTATTACAGAAGTATTAGCTGTAATCGGAGAGGTTAGGATTCAACGAAATTATTCAAGAAGCAGAATCTAGTGAAAGAAACTTAAAAAAAGAAAAAGATAAAAGTAATGAAGAACTCCGAAAGTTAGGATTTGAGAGAACACAAAGAATGAATGTACCTGGGCGGCCACATTATTGAGCGATAACATCTTTGAATTCAACACTGATTAGCACAGTACTGAATAAAGTTGAGAGCGTTAAGCCCTATTTTAAAGTAGTAAAGACATCCTCTGTTGATGGTGCTTCAGTCGATAAGAAACTTAGATTTAGCGCTTTAAACTACTAAATACTACTACTAATTAATAAAATAATATTGACATAAAGCAATTACCTCATTCTGAGTTTGATAACTGTATCGATTTTTCAAAGTTTCTTTTTCTTGTAATTCTTTTGCTTGTAATAATTTAGCATATCTTGGTGGTAGATTTCGTTTGAATGTTGCACTTAAACTTAATCTTGATAGAGACGTTTTTCCTCCCAAGAGTGAATTCCCATCAAGAGAACCAACATCGGAATTTTCACAGGTAGTAGTAGTAGTAGTAGCAGCAGAGGGTATAAGTGCTCCAGTGGTGGAGCCCCCTATTTGTTGTTGATGATTGTCATTAATAATGGAATTTGTAGACATATTGGATCGTTGTTGTCTAGCTGCAACCTAAGTGAAAAAAAAACGCACAATAAATAACACATTCAACATTATGAAATTTTACATAAACAAACAGATGCGGTTTGAAAAACCGCATGTATGTATGTATGTATTGTTCTTTACCTTCAAGAAGACTAAGTTTCACTGCTAAAAAATAATCCTCTTGTAGCTGGGAGACAGACATCTTGGCTATAAAAAAAGTGATGCAAGATAGTAAAAGTTAAGCAGACTTTTTCAATCTATGCTGCGATTTCGCAAATAAGTGGTCGTTACTCATTTATGATTTTACAGAAGGCATATCTCTATTTAATTTCTAGTCATAAAAAAGCATGTAGGACGTTGATTATAATCTGTTCGCCCGAAATCTCAATTTGATCACAGAAAAATACAGCTTTCATTGTTCAAGTTCAATATGAAGTACAAAATCATATCCTGGTTAGTAGATAATCCTGTTCCCGAGAAGTGACAACCGCCCTCATATCCGTAACAGCACACGAGACCAAATTGGTCGAAATCAAATCCCTTATTTATGAATATAACTTGCATATCAATGTGTTCAGTTTACTGGAAATACACTCGAGAATTGCAAGTATCGATATATGAGTTTATGGAGACAAGATTTTACGTACTAAAATTCTCAGTAATTGGGCATTTTTCACTGAAGTTCATTGATCAGTTTGTACAACCTCATACTGAGTATTTTAGTCATGTAAAAACGGAGCTCTTTGATCAAGAGGTACACAAATCTATTGCGATAGAGATGATAAAATATAAAGGATTGATAAATACAGTCAGGGGAATATTAGTAGGTTACACAAGCTTGAAACATAGATTCAATCGACAGTGTTGTAAATTTAATATATATTATAATCAAAAGAACATGCAAAAAGGTACTGTGTACGCATCTGGCCCTAGATAAACATATCCCTTCGTAACGCTTTACACATGATATCATAGGGAAATAAAAAATCAATAAACCGCCACACACCTGACTAGCTTGTTCTTGAATAAATTTAGCTAGTTCTGCATTCATGATAAGTCCACCAGAAGTTCCAACATGAGACAGTAATGAAGAAGGTAATGATGATGATGACGATGATATTGTTGTTGTTGTTGATGATGACGGTACAACAACATCGTTTGATGTAGTAGTAGTAACCTCTGAAGATGATGACAGTGATTCGATTGCGTTATTATTTATTAAGTTAACTTTCATTGTTTCATGATGTGTAGTTGTAGGGATGATATGAAGTAATTGTTCATTGTTGCTAGAAGGAATAATAGTTGACTCGTGTAGATTAGGCTTGACCTTTTTGAAAAAAAGGAAAAGAGAAAAAAATGACAGTGAGTATTGTCAGAGAGGTTCAGTAAAGTTAAACAATTTCTAGGCGATACGAATATCAAGTGAGAATATTAGCCGGTGGAAATGAATACTGTGATATGAGTCGAAATTCGAAGAAATATCATTTGCACTAAACAGATACTCTACTTTAAGCAATCTGTTAAAAATAGTATTCAGTTAGCAGACTAACTGACTGAGTATTCATTCAGTAAACAAACTTCGGGTAAAATGTCTGGCAATAAATGTTGGTAACCATAAAATTTAATTTTTAATTAAGGTTATTTTAGTGATAAGCATATTTGGTATGAGGCTCAAATCCAAAAAGCGTGTTTTGATTTTTTTTCAAACTAGTCAGCTCTGAATAGATTTGAATCCTGGTGTTGATGTGTCTACGTGGAGATTCAGACGCAGTAGTATATTTCGTATCAAATACGCAAGATGTTAACAACTGAGTCATTTGCAACGTAGAACTTCGTACGTATGTACATAAGTTCATGTTGCCATACCACATTATTAGCACAGAGACGCAAATGTCAAATCAAATCCCATAGTGATAAAGATAGTAGAGGTATTAATGGTAATGAAGAAGACTAGGGTTTGAAGATATTATTCAAGAAGTATAATTCAGTGAGATAAGGTTAGAAAGACAAAAGTAGAGGTGCTGACGATTCCAGAAGATTAGGATTTGAGAGAGCACAACGAATGGATGCACTTGCGCCATTGCAAACGATTTTGAGCCATGTCATTCAAGGTCTCTAACCATCGATTATTATCATCTCGCGTACCCCAACCAGGTAGTCTACATCTACCAACATAACTCAGTCCACTTGTCAGTGACTTCATGGATTTGTGCCATGTTTTGGTCTGACCGCTCCTAGCTTTCTTTCAACCTACTCTTACACTACAAAACATAGCTCGTCGGGGCAGTCGGTGGTTAGGCATACGCAACACATGTCCCAACCACCTCAACTGATGAAGTTTCATTACTTAATCTATTGATCTGCCATTCTTACCTAGCACCCGAGAGAACAGATCAGGGAAGACTAGTTCTTTTTTAAACTGATTTATCAATGAAAGTTTTGGTTATTTTTAACTATTTTTTGTTAAAGTTCAGAGATTGAGTTATTTCTTATCGACTAGTTGGTTACACTTAATGTACTTTATAAAACTAGCCATTTCCTCTAAAAATAAACTCATGATTTTTTAAAACCATTGATTTAAACAAAATATAACTTTGTAGATAAGTACAGTTGGATGATAATTGTCAGATTTTCTGGAATAGCAGTTCAGAATTCATCTGAATAACGCAACCAAGGTCTATTCAAGTCAGAAGACTGTCTTGGTTACACGGAACTACTTACTATGGGATTTGAATTGACGATTCGATCTCTGTTCTAACGTGGTATGGCAACTGGAACTGATGTACGTACGTATGTACGAAGTTCTATGTTGTAGCTGACTGATTGATATAAGTATGGTTCTACATTAAATCGTACTCAGTTAAATTTTTAAGCTTACATCCAAGGTGATAAGATCAAAACAACAGGCAATCATAAAACAGCCCAACATAAAAATGACATTGAAAAAGGGTGTCTACGCAAAATATGCTTCAACCAATAATAAGCAGATGATAGCCAATTGTCGATAATTAACCCTGACTACTACCAATAGGTAAAATGGTCATAAACAAGAATTTCACAATGGCCATTAATGGAATCCAGGACATACGTTTCGTCCTACTTGAGACTCGTCAGTTAAATAAATACATATTCACTTTGAAACCTGAAACCAGTAACCTTATCTATCTATGAATACCCAAACTTCTTGTGGTTATATTCCCTAGAAATTTCCCCTCACTATCAAGTACAGGTTTGTGCCCAACTACTTAAATAAGAAGTACAGAGGGATTTAGACTTGTGATCGATTTTTTTTGAAAAAAACCCTAACCAGAGTATATTGACTATTTCTATTGTAATAATAGATTTTTTAATGATTAAATTGATCATTATTGTTGTTAAGCGCATAAAATTAGAATAATTTGGAGGAATTAAAGTCACTAGAACTTACCCCCTCGTCAAGATTATTTACAATTGTTATATTTGATTGAGTTTCTTCTTCATTATTATTACTGGTAATAGTCATAGTTGTCGGTTTGTTAAGTACACTGAACAATTCATTTAAATTGTTTGGTGAATGACTACTACTACTGCAACAGAATGAACCAGAAGTTGTTTGTGTGGAATATGAATTTTCATCTTTTGAATTTGGAGCCCAATTTATCAAGGATGGGAATATTTGAGCTATATATCTATGTTAGGCAAAATAAAATATTAGATATGATTATAATCGTTATGCTTGTCAGTTAATAATGGTTGGGACTGTAATGAGTTCACACCTTAGTCGGTGAACGAGAGCGAAGATAAATGATCCAATGAAACGATAGGCTACTCTAATCCGAGCGTCTCAAGGCCCCACACTAAGTAGAGGAATTAGTCTTGACAAGAAGTAGAAAGTGTATTCTATATGCACACAAATCGAGTTTATTCATACATCATAGAAACTACATTGGGACAGTCACAAAAATAGAGTGCTAAAATAATAAATACATTAACCAATAACAGTCAAGGATTTTCCGAGTGGGAAATGTAATCTCAAGGTCGACTGATAAGCCCATGAGCTAAAGCATAGAATCCAAAATTAGGACCTTTATCAAGTGAGTTCTGGGGAACTAACGTCCCCAACAATAATCATATTAGTATGAATGAACAAAGTAGACCTGCATAACAACTCCAATGGATGTACAGATGTGTCTAATCCTAAGTTGTTTGCATACTGACTGACTGATTAGATAAACTGCATATATATATATATATATATATATATATATATATATATATATATATATATATATATATATATATATATATCGGTTCAGGTTTCAACGCCACATCATGAGATTAAACAATGATGAGGAGCATTTGTAGCTCAGTATGAGGATTTTGACGTTATCTTTAAGTTGGCTCGGCTAAAAGACCACAACACATCCGACAGATGAGATTTTGAACAGAAGTAACAGTTACAATAATCATATGAAATCCAACCAAGTAACCTAAACGGTTCAGGTTGATCAGTTATCAATCTTATAGATTGGCAACAAGTCTTGGTTAGAGCGCTCCTAGCTTGTCCTTCACACTAATAAATGTCGGGCATCGAGGTAGGTGTTTCATCCAGAATCTATAAGAAAAAATTATTATGTTGAAGATTTACATTAGAAAATCGCCAAAGATCGATAGTTTGGATGATGCAACCCAAAGTTTGGGCTTATTTCGCAAGTAGTGAAGTGTACGTTTAGCTCATCGATTTCAGTGCGAGTATCTTTGAGATTATTCCTGTACTTTATATATCAATCAACCAGATGACCGTTCCACTAGCTATACAATAATTACTGATTCACAGTTGATTTTCGAATAAACATTTATTTATAAAGATACATTTTATGTGTAGTGGCAATTTGAAAAAAATGTATAAAATAAAAACATGCTACTTTATTTATACTACAGTAGTAAATGAAATGTTTTTGAAAAAAAACGAAAATGAACACAAACCAACCGAGCAGATGTTAAGAGGCATAAGATACGTTCCAATCCGATTTCATAAGATTTTGAAATATTCTTTTCATGTATATTTTCATTAGTTGAACAAATTAATTCATCAAATTTATTAATAGAAAAATCAAGAAGAAAAGGATTTACAGGATTGTATTCTATTGATGAACTACTACTACATAATGAACGTTGTGTTGGTATATGAAGTGGTTGAAAACCCTATAAAGATTAACAGAATAAAAAAAGCCAAACATTAAAGGACTTTTCTGTAGAAAAAAGAAAATGGACTGATTACATGAACTTAACTTTAGATTTTTGTTTTGTTCAATGTAGGCCTAATGATCAGTCAGTCAGTTACAACGTAGAGCTTCGTACGTATCTACATCAGTTCATGTTACCATATCACATTAGCACAGAGATGCAATTGTCAGTTCAAATCCCATAGTGGTAGAGATAGTAAAAGTATTAGCAGTAATGGAGAAGATTAGGGTTCGAAGACATGATTCAAGAAGTATAATTTAGTGAAAGTATTCAATGACTTCATGAACTGCAGCACTGTGGTGAACATCGAAATTTTATCTACACAGGGGGAAAACTAGTAGTAATAATTACCAGTAAAAACAAGATACTGAATGACTGATTAGTGACAAATGTCATATTTATCTAGCCCTTAATCCTGATCGAGCGTTAACGACCAAGTTACAACGTATTCATTAATTTAAACCACTTGGCATAGCATGTACTATGTTTTTGGTGTTGAGTGGCTAGAAATAATTAGCGAGACTTAAGTTTCGCGTTAGGAAACATTTGTCATTGTGAGGAAAATGGTGCTCACAAGTGGATCTTGAATAAAGGTTACTCAGATTTGAAGTCTGAGATGTCACCACCAAACGTTTCGGGTCGTGACCAACTTAGATATTTACATTGATTGATCACTGGGTAAAGATCAATATCATATATAGACAATCAAAATTAACTTACTTGTAGAAGGACAATTTCAGGTAATTTCATTAAACTAATCCAATCTATCGGAGTGATATTGTCAGCTTCACTATCATGACTGTTATTATCAGAGGCATTGATGATATGACTTTCACTGGAAGTACAATTCTCACATTCTTCTTCAACAACATCACTATCGATTATTATTTCACTGTTTACAGCATTGTTCATGTTTTCAATGTTATTGTTAATAAGCTGTACATGTGTATCAACATCAATAGGTTGTGTTTGCTCATCATCATCATCATGATTATGTAACAAGGGTTGATAGTGTTTAAGTAAGTTATTTAAAAAGTACACTGTATTCTTTGTAAATATAGGAGTTGACAATTGAACAAACAGTTTATCAGTCAATTGATAAGATGATTTATTAATTCCTACAAAAACAAATAGAAACAGTGTATGAGAATTACGTTTGATTTATTGACATGATGAAAATATACATTCTTGAATAGGTATCAATGAAGAATACTGTTTAGTTTCATCGGTTTTTTCGTTTTTACTATGATAAATCAACTAATATTAGGATTTGTTAATATGTGGTATGACAACGAGTACGTGATGGGTTTGTCGGACATAAGCAACAATGCAAGCATGTTCAGGATGCGGTTCTCACCCTTGAAATGCAAAATGTTGCTTCAAGATTGGGTTGCATCGGCACCTGAACTAGTGATAAGGAGTGAAGTAGTAGTCAAGCGTGTTGATCACTTCACTTATCTGAGGAGTCTCATCAGCATTGATAGCCTGGTGACTGACGAAATCTCAACGCGGATACAGAAAGCTCGATTGGCTTTTGCCAAACTGCGTCACTTATGGCGCAGACGAGATATCTGTTTGCTGACTAAAGGACGAGTGTACTGTGCAGCAGTTCGCTCCGTTCTCCTATATGGATGCGAAACATAGCCGTTAAGAGTAGAAGATGTTCGTAGGTTACTAGTATTCGATCATAGATGTTTAAGAAGCATTGCTCGTATATCGTGGGACACCCGAGCAAGTAGTGCTGTCGTTAGGAAACGAGTACTAGGTAAGGATGGCAGATCAATAGATGAAGTGGTGAAACTTCGTCAGTTGAGGTGGTTGGGATATGTGCTACGAATGCGCAACCACCGACTACGTCGACGAGCTATGTTTTGTGGTGTAGGAGTAGGTTGGAAGAAAGTTAGGGGCGGCTAGATCAAAACATGGCAGAAATCCATGAAGTCACTGACAAGTGGACTGAGTCATGTTGGTAGATGTTGGCTACCTGGTTGGGGTCCGCGAGACGAAAATCACCGATGGTTAGAAACCGTGAATGACATGGCACAGATGCATCCATTCGTTGTGCTCTCTCAAATCCTAATCTTCTGGACTCTTCAACACCTCTAGTTTTGACTTTCTAAACTTTTCTCATTTAATCATACTTCTTGAATAATATCTTCTAATCCTAACCTCTCCAATTACTTCTAATACCTTTACTATCTCTACTACTATTGGATTTTAATTGACAATTACATCTCTGTTCTAATGTGGTATGGCAACCTGAACTTATGTACATACGTACGAAGTTCTACGTTGCAACTGACTGACGTGATGGGTAGTTCGTCTTTGATATCGACTGAGGAACGTGAAAAGCAAGACGGCGGATGATCTCTTCAGAAGAAATACCAGTCTGAAATCAGATGAGAGGTAAAGGATCAATCACATTATCGAGCATGATTTAAAACAGTTGGAGATTTTCTCAAAAACTTCGTGAGATATTATTACAAAAGGCACGCAGTAGCGCATTGTCCGAAGTAATACTAAGGTAATATAGGCCCGCCTCTTTGAGGTCTGAATCAGCTATGTAATATGATTGAATAAATATACAGAGGGTAATAAAAATGTACATTGTTTGGTCCATACCTTTTCAGACAGAATTAAAACAACCAAAATATTCTGAGCGACCTTGTCTGACAATTAAAATATTCAAAGTTTTCTAAGCATAGATGGATTGATCGACTGATATTATTCATTATAATGTTTTTACACTGGGCTACACTCATCTTGATTTTCATAGCTTTTCCACTCACAGTTAACATTCATTTAAAGTTTACATTTTTTCGTCAGAGTATTTATAATGTAAAGATATGGACAGTGAATCTAGAGAATGCTTTCCTTTATCATAAACGTCCCTAAATATTTTTTTACGGCCGAGAGTAAGTAGAGTTCGCTCTTCCTCTCGAAATGCATTATATGGCGATGCGTATATGTTCACTGTCAATGAAGATCTACTTAAGGCCTTTTCGTGGGACAGGTATTGTTTATGGGAACGAAGACCTAATATCCGGAGCTTTAACTGGGTTAGCAGATACGGGGATCCATCTCGAGGAGTTGAAAAAACATTGATTCCAAACAGGTGTACACGGTCTCCAGATCCTGATGGAACAAATGGCGTATGAATTCATTTTGCTCACTGGCTATTATCGGACTGCATCTCCTTACATTGCCCCACAGCCTTATGGTTGTGGCAGTGTTTCGTTCTCTGAGCTGGATGTTTTGATTGTGGAGCTTTGATCAAAGGGGGATACAATCAAAAGAAAGGTTTAAGGTCAATAGCAGCCAATCAAGCTACGGATCAAACGTGGAGAAATTCCAATACTTCACATCTATCTTAAGTTTGTGCTGATGATGTTGTTCAGAAGAACAATGAAAGCTCCACAAACAAAACATCCAGTTCAGAGAACGAAACACCAACACAATCACCCACCTGAGCTACAAATCTTTTTCAACAGACTTGTGTATCAAAAAAATAGTGTTATTATCTTCTATATTTTTATGACTATGCATTGGTTTAGCCCAATGAACTAAATTAAGCTTGTTGAGGGCTTGCATAAAGGGAGTTTGTATATCAGTATCAAATCAGGATTCTAACAAAAATTCTGTTTGAATACCTCCCCTTGGTAAATTCTTGAAGGTGAGTTTCTCGCAGGAGAAAATAAAAAAACAGATCAATTTCTAAACTGGACTAAACATCGATAGGTCTTGTTAATAATTCTATATATTACAAAGGATTGCTTTTTGATTAATCACTGTTGTAAAATATCCAACAGCTTAAATCTATGACAAAAAATATCAACACCTATATCTATGCCAATATTTACATAACATGAGAAAATGTCATTTCAAAGTGACAACGCTAACTACTTAATTCAATAATAAGTAGTTTGTTTCAAATCTCTAATTAAACTAGAGTTATACGATGTGGCGAATAAAATTACCTGTTATTTTTAAATGTGATTACCTGCAGTAATTTTAGTGAAATGATTTGATCGAAACCAAAGGAATAATAAATTCAATGCAACTGTTGGTTGTAATTTGCATGTTTCTATGTTAATATTATTGTTATCATGAGATGTATAGGGAATTTCGGTTGTCGGAGACGAAAGTACGACAGGATTCTCATCATTACTGATCGAATCGTTATGATTATCGTTATCAACAAAAGTATCACTGTTTTTAAAATCTCCGTTATTATTAACATCAGTGGTTGTTTCACCATTTGATACAATATTTAAAATATCTTGTTCATTTGATGACACTGTTTTCAATGTCTTATCATCAACTATAATACTTGAAGTAATCCAATTAATTAAATGAATCGTTAAACATAAAAGAAGAGCAGTGCCTGTTTGATATTCATTCAGCAGAAAAGGTTTTTCGTTAGATGTTTCAAATGATGATAGGTTTGATTTCGTGTCCTAAAATTGTAAAAATACAATATATCGATGATTAGTGCTAGTCGCATTGAAAAGACAATACTATTAACGAAGTAAACGCTTTCGTTCAATCTGAAATCCAACATAGCAAATTAACAGTATTGCCAAATATGTATGTTAAGCTATGCACACAAAGGTCTACCAACATAACCTCTTCAGTTCTTAAAGACACTCGATCATAAAAGTACGCAACACGCATGATATTGTAGTGACTCCACATACATTTGAGTTCGCTCATGTTTAGTTTGGTTAAGCCTTTCCATTAATTTATCGAACCAAGCCATTTTTTGTATAGCAACAACTTATACGTACCATTGGCTTTTCACCTGTTTGCTTTCTTCCCGGCAATCGCATGTCTGTGGTTTGCTGTTCTAATTGTGGTATGCGAGAATACACATATTCAAAACTTCGTGTTCACTTTCTAGTGTAAAACCATCAGGCCTATTTAGAAACGATTGTCAGGACGATCAAATTACGAAGTCTAGGAACGCATTGAATATTTGGATCGAATCGTAGGATGTTGAGTTGCGTTCGATTCTACGGTTTATAAATCAGAAGGGTCGAATACATTTATTCTCGAACACCACAATTAGAACATCAGACATGCAAGTGCCAGAAAGAAAGCAAACAAGCGAATGAGTGAATCGGCGAATCGGGTAGTGAATTAATAAGATTAAAATGTTCATATATGTACATAGGAAAATGTCTCAATCATCAAGATATTTAAGAGATTAAGATGAAAGCGAATAGGATGAATATGCGCGTAGGCGTAAGGCCAATATTCAGTCATACCAGATCATACAAACCAGGCAAACAGTAAAAACCAATGGTACGTATAAGTTGTTGCTATACAAAAAATGGCTTGGTTCGATAAATTAATGGAAAGGCTTAACCAAACTAAACATGAGCGAACTCAAATGTATGTGGAGGCATTATAAACTTGAAGATCAACAATTAAACAAGATACAGGATGTAACCCAGTAGTTGCTTTATGGAACTGCTCTACGTCTACCAGGAGAGTTGTTCATCTAGGGTAAAATTGTTTGAAATGATGTAGCCAACAACGTACGACGCCTTAAGCAGCATATGAGTGATTTGAGAGTAACACTTCCGAGGCAACATCAACGCTTGGTATACATACCAAAACAAATGGGCAATAGTACCCATGTGTTTATCAGAAGGGATAATGTGCAGTGTCCCTTACAACCGACCTATGATGGTCCATTCAAAACTATTATTGTAATCCAGTAAAAACGGATGTCATTAGCATCGACCGAGTCAAACCAGCTTTCATCGAAGCTGACCATCAACCGGTAAGTACAGATCCTTTGAAAACCAACTGGATCACCAAAACGTGAGTTCCAGTCAATGACATCGACGAAGAAAAACGAAGAGAATCAAGTAAGGACGAGACATGGTCGAAGAGTTAGATAGGCGCGCCGATTTTGAATGAATGTTTTCATTCACTTCTTCAAATGCGAATATTTTTTTTGCTTCGTTTTGTAAGTGGACATCAAAATTATTAACTTATCTATTATTATATTCGACATATTTTGTATATTTCGATGTTGAAGTGTATAGACTTCCAAAAACATTATGGAATTCTTTTGATCTTCAATTATCTTATCTAGCCTCATGGACGTATGCGAACTCAAGCTTAGACGTAGTTGTAAGAATTTACACGGTAGTTTTTAACTTAGTATTCATTCCGTAGATTTTGATATTTCTCATTCTCTTAGATTGAGTATTTTGTCGCAGATACACAGACACCGTTTTGTATCTTTGTTTGCTGGCGGCGGGAGCCACTGTAGCACCTCACATACATTTAGGTTTATTAACTCTTGTATTAACTTATTTAACAGACAGCCATTTTACTTTTATTAATGTCGATGTCGTATGACCTGCTGTTCTCTCTCACCTTAGATTACCGATAGCCTTTTTAACTTCATTAGACGTTGAAAAACTTACATGCATTTGCCACTAAAAGTCTCTAATCTCAGGGATGTTTGGAAAAATGGAAGTGAGAAGTGTATTATTTCAACTGATCAGAAGTATTTTGCAGTGGATAAAATCATAGTAAGATAAATCTTTTTGAAGCAAAGCATTAATAACCTTAGCTCGTGTATTCATTGGACCGATTAGGTTATATGTGTGGGTCATTCAAAAAATAAAAATCAACACATTATTATCATCATTACTGTTACCAATGGTAAAAACCCATAAACACTGAAATGAAACAACTTACTGATAAATAATGATCCGTTAAATAGAAATGAATACACACCAAATGTATCAATTGATTTTTGTCTAATTCTACTTTATCCCAATTATTCATAGTTTCGAAAAGATCATCAGCCATTTTGATCAGTTTAACAGGATCTATTTTATATCACGAGAATATGATATGAGGAAACAGAAATACATTACCTTTAATTTTTTTAGTTTATAAATATAGAAAGTTAGAGTTAAACTGCTGAACCGCAACAGCAACAACAACGACAACACCACCATCTTCGTTAAATGAAATCAATGAATTATGTAATATGTAATTTAAACACTGACAGTGATTAAAAAAAACACCATAATTTACAACTGGAGCACTGATTTATTGTGACAGAATAATCAATTGAAGGTCAACTACCAGTAGGCCATAAAATTGTACACTTCAACCACCCTGTTCGGGTATTGCAGACAAGGGTGAACTTAACAAATGAATATTCACTTAGAAACATTGACGAAAATGCATTTTAACATATACTGAAGTAATATTGTAGTGAAGGAGAACACAGGTGAGGGCAAACGAATTGTATATAACGAAAATTACAGAGTTACTCAGTAAAATAGGAAAACCATATCGTAAACGGTTAATTTGCAAAACATCAATCCATTGTCTGACATTTCACTGTTCATGCGTTTCATACAAATTCCATTGTGTTCCCACTCTTCCTTTCTTGATCTTCCACCATCTTCTGCTGCCAGACATTACGTTTTCACTCGCGTCATATACTACTTATAAGTAGCGCGCACCACGATATCACTAATAAATTATACTGTAAATAGTATATATATGGAGATTGTTGTTTTTCATTGTTAGACCACCATTGGAAACCTGGAATAACTGGACGGCTGTTTAGTCCTAGTATGGGACTTTTCAGCAGTGCAAAACCAAGACTGGAGAATCGAACCCAGGACCTTCGGTCTTGCGCGCGAAGGCTTCACCTCTAGACCACTGAGCCGGCAATCCAATGGTGTGAATGCCTAACTTTGATCAATCTAAGGCTTTTGCGCAACCTCATCCAATAATTCCAGATTTCCAATTGTGATCTAACATGAATTAATTGATGCTTTCAATGAAACTCAACAATTCCCACAATCAATCCTATAATGACACATTTTTTTTTGAAAGGATATTTGTCATTATCCAATCTTTTCACATACTCTTTAATTAAAAAAAAATTGATTACTTTATCGAACAGATGATATAAAAAATAAAATAATGGTCTGTTTAAGATTTGCACACAAATCAATATTTCGTAGTGAAAAAAACTTTATTCATAGTTTAAATATCTAATAGTAGCATTACTATTGGTACAAGTTTATGTCATGATTGAACATTCTTTGTGTTCTCCTAACCTTCTGAGTTCCACATATCAAATTTATCTTTTTAAGGTTTTTTCACTAGATTCTACTTCCTGAATAATTTGCTTGAATCCTAATCTCTCCGATTACTGCCTATACTTCTACTACCTCTACACTACTATGGGATTTGCATCGACAATTGCGTGTCTGTGTCTACATTGGAATTGAATTGACAATTACATCTCTGTGCTGATGTGGTATGGCGACATGAACTGATGTAGTTACGTACAAAGTTCTACGTTGCATCTGACTGACTGACTGTCTGTGCTAATGTGACATGGCAACTTGAACTTGATATACATACGTACGAAGTACTACGTTGCTGTTGATTGATTGATTGATAGATATTGAACACGTCCCTACTTTATTATGTAATACAGAAAGACAATGAATATCATAATGAATGTACCTTTATGCAAATAAAGTGCTGTATAAAATTGTATAAGTGTTTGTATTTGTTGATTGGTAAATTTTGGCCAACGTTTTGCAGTTGACACTACATCATTTATTGAATCGGTAGGTGGTTGTTTCTCATGATTATTATTATCAAGAGTTGATTCAAATGATTTGTAATAGTCCAATAATATATTTGATAAATTATTCATTGCAGCAGGAAATGAATGCAAACATGCCAATGCACGTATATAATAATAGAATAGAGCATCCATAGATCTACTAGGTAAAGGCTAAAAAATTTAAAAAGAATATATGCATATATATATATATCATATGTAGGAAAATAAGTTTATCAATAATACTAATGTTAAAATGTATCATAGTTATTTCCAAAACATAAATAATAGCATTGTTAGACCACCATTAGAAACCTGGAAGCACTGGACAGCTGTTTCGTCCTGGTATGGGACTACTCATCAGCAGTGAGCATAATATCATAACAGTGCTCACTAGTGACTAGCTTCGTGAGGAAATTCTCGGAGTTCTAGTTCGGAAGACGTGACCAATGCAGTTCAACCCTGTCGGGTGTAGGCAGTAACTACCAAAGACAAATGGGTGAGGTCACGCAAAATTCGTAGATCAATCACAGTTAGACATTAACACCGTTGGATGCCGGCCCAGTGGTCCGATGGTTAGGCGTTCGCGCACAATACAGAAGGTCCCGGGTTCGAATCCTGCGAGGCGCAGGAGTCGTGGATGCGCACTGCTGATGAGTCCCATACCAGGACGAAACGCCCATCCAGTGCTTCCAGGTTTCTAATGGTGGTCTAACAATGACTGATTGATAATTTCAAATGTGTAAAAACACAAACCTCCAAAACTCTGCCCCAAAATAAATAATAGCAGCTGACAGAGCGCCTTGTTTTTACATAGAAACTACAACAATCCGACAACTCTAGTCAATATAACAGACTGATATAAAACGGATATAGTTTAGCTAGAATTTTAAGCACTTCTAAAATGATGCAAATGTCTTTACTTGTTATCTTTTACTGTAGATCTAGAGTTTCAGTATTCCTTTACGCATATCTTTTTATTTCGTTCTTACGAATTATGAGTCAGTCAGTTACAACGTAGAACTTTCTACGTACGTACATAAGTTCAAGTTGCCATACCACATCAGCACAGACACACAACTATCAGTTCAAATCCCATAGTAGAGGAGGTAGTTGAAGCATTAGCAGTAATCAGAGAGAATAAGGTTCGTACATATACAAGAAGTATAGTCCACTGAGATAAATTTAGAAAGAGAAAGATAGAGATTATGAGGAATGCAGAAGCTTAGAATTCCATAGAACACAAAGAGTAGATGCACCTGCGCCATTGAAAACGATTTTGATCCCTGTCGTTCAAGGTCTCTAACCATCGGTGACTATTGTTTCACGGACCCCAACCAGGTAGCCTACATCTACCAACATGACTCAGTCCACTTGTCAGTGACTTCATGGATTTCTGCCACTTTTTAGTCTGGCAGCCACTAGCTTTCTTCCAACCTATTCCTATATCGCAAAACATAGCTCGACGAGGCAGTCGGTGGTTAGGCATATGCAACACATGTGCCAACCAACTCAACTGATGAAGTTTTAATACTTCATCTATTGACCTGTCATCCTTACTTAATACTCGTTTCCTGACTATAGCATTGCTCACTCGGTTGTCCTAAGATAAACGAGCAACGCTTCGAAGACGTCTACGATCGAATACTAATAAACTACGAGTATCTTCTACTCTTACTAGCCATGCTTCACAGCCACAAATTAGAACCGAGTGAACTGCTGAGCAATAAACTCATCCTTTGGTTAGCAAACGGATAACTCGCCTACGTCATAAGTGACGCAATGATCACTTATTTATTATTTCGGAATCAATGGATATATTTGACTATGTACACAAACAAGTTAATGAATAAACTCTTACTTTAGTGTTGGCATCAACTAGCAAATAACATCATTTCTTAATCAATAGTGAGAAACATAAAGTTCTTCAAGTTCGAACTTCGTTATACATCCTGTATAAGACTGTTTGAATGATGTGTGTGGATGTTTATATTGCACTTTTTAAATTCGATTCAATTCAGTTAAGTCTTTAATTTAAAGTTATCTACTATTGGGTGATTTTGAGACCGATTACGAGGTTCTAATGAAAAATCATGCCTAACTAGTAGAGTCTAACTTTGCCGGGGGTAAGACAGTTCTCCCACACTAAGAGAAGTAATTAATTGTTACTATACATTATCATTTGATCGAAGTGGGCAATATCGAATACTAAATTTGAAATTAATGGTTTAGTGGTAAGACCTAACAATCATTGATGTATACAGCCTAAGAGTCCCAAAATACAACAAAATATTTGTATAATGCTTCATTACCTTACTACTGTGACGGAAACTACATACAAAGCAGATATTTGCTTAAGATTTTACAAATTTTACACAAATATTTAATAAGGAAAAACGTAAATGAATAGATAATTAACTACCTTTGTAGCTTCTAAAATAGCTAATTGATTAAAAGAATGGCCAGAATCAGGATGAACAACCCACGACCAAAGGTAATAACCAGCGGCAACATTTGGTTGTTGACGGTACCTGAAAGGATATACATATTTATGGATTAAACTGCACTAACAAACTATAATACCAGAGAGATATGTTTCATCTAAACTAATTAGTTATGGAGATCAAAGTTTTTACACACAGAAATCATGAATCAATCATTCTTAGACCATCATTAGATAGTTGGAAGCACTGAAAGACGGCCGTTTCGTCCTGGTGTGGGATTCGTCAGCAGTACTCGTCTACGACTCCTGCGACTCGCACGATTCAAACCCAGGACCTTCGGTCCTGCACGAGAATGCCCAACCTCTGAAACAATGAGCCAGCATTGAACGGAATTAATATCTTCGTTTCAAGACCATACTCATACTGAATTCTATTCAACGAAGTAATAATTAAACTACGAGATACCCAATATGCATTAAGTAATCAATTATTTTCAATTAGAAATGTGGCTGATGTTTAGAGGAGTACCCCAGTAATCTTAATTTATTGTTTTTGTAATTTAAATCCTTAATCAGTCATGTGCAGCATAGAACTTGATACAAGTGTCACACAATATTAGCACAGTGAGATAAAATTATGAAGACGAATGCCACAGTAGTAGCAGTATAAAAGATTAGGAATGGGAGAGAATCAAGTGATACAGGAGGCAAATCTGAACTAGCGGTTATTATCGCATCAAAGGCCTATTGTAAGATTTGTATATTATAAGTTTACTACTAATATGTAATTAGTATTTTTTTTCTACCGATAATTGTTTGATATTTTTCACTGGCTAATCGTAAACTAACTTTCTTTTTCCATTGAAATCATGAATCAATCAATGTTAAACCAGCATTAGAAGTCTGGAGGCACTGAATGACCACTTCCACGTTTCTAAAGGTGGGTTAACATTGATCGATTGGTGACTTCAATGAAACTCAACAATCTCTACAACCCTAAAACTACTTATCGTCGAATGAAACTTTCTTTTCTGTCCAGCTTTAACAAACACTCATGATTAAAAACACCAGAAGCTAAATAGAAACTAATTTAATACAAGTTATTAGATATATTAGGTTAGAATTCCTTTTCTAGATATCAACTATTGAGAATAATCCAAAGTACAAGCGAAGATCAATGAAATGAAATTTTTTCTTATTGGGTTATTAGAAATGTTATTAGGGATGTAGATTTAATGAAAGTTAAAATAAGAGTTTGATGCAGGGTTGAAAAGCCTTCAAAACAACATTTGACTGAATTCAATTCTTAGTAAAGTACTATTTGTAAAACAGCAGTGTTTTCCAATGACGGAATAAATCTAGCTAGGTGTTGTCAGCATCTGTGCCGACAGTCAGTCAGTCAGTCAGTTGCAACGTAGAACTTCGTACGTAAGTACATCAGTTCATGTTGCCATACCACATCAGCACAGAGATGTAATTGTCAATTCAAATACAATAGTAGAAGAGGTAGTAAAGGTATTAGGAGTAATCGGAGAGGTTAGGATGAGAAGATATTCAAGAAATAGGATTCAGTGAGAAAGGTTAGAAAGACAAAACTAGAGGGGTTGAAGAATCCAGAAGATTGGGATTTGAGAGAACACAAAGAATAAATGCACCTACGCCATGCAAACGATTTTGAGCCATGTCATTCAAGGTCTCTAACCATCGATTATCATCATCTCGCGGACCCCAACCATGTAGTCGACAATTACCGACATGGCTAAGTCCACTCGTCAATGACTTCATGGATTTCTGCCATGTTTTGGTTTGGCCGCCCCTTTCTTCCAACCTATTCCTACACTATAAAACAGAGCTCGACGAGGCAGTCGGTGGTTGGGCATACGCAACACATGTGCCAACCACCTCAACTGAGGAAGTGTCACTACTGCGTCTATTGATCTGCCATTCTTACCTAGCGCCCGACAACAACATCTGAGTAAGGATCTGTACAAATCACGAGAAGATACATTGAGACAATTGAAGAAAAATGAATGGAATGAACTGCTATGGAAAATTGTTGAACAGAAAACTGACTGTCAGTAATTTAATGATCACATTCTTGATGATTCATTTTTTATTAACCCAAAACAGGTTGTAGTTACAATCGCAATATTAAAACGTACTTAATAAACTATAAACACACCATGTCAAATGTAATAAAGTTGTTACAAGTATCTATTAAGTGTTATACAGACAAATGGAAAGAATAGTGAACATTTCATTCACACTAATTCTTGTTAACTAATCCTAAGATTAGAGTAAAAATTATATAAAGAATTGAATGTCCTCATACTACAAATGTAAGCGAAAATGCGAATAATTTTTGACAACTATAGTTTACTATGTATAACATTTCAATGTACTCAGTAACTTAAATGAAATCAAAATTAATCAGGAAAAACATGTGTTATTCTAAAAATATGACCAATGAAAAGAAGACATCTAGAGAGTATGAAAGAAACAAAGACTAACCGAGCAATATCTCCAAGATGAACTAAACAGTGATGCACTAAATAAATAACAGCTGCTTCTCGATCCAAATGATGATCAGAACTTTGGTTAGCATTTACTTCAGTTTTCTCTTTCTTACTTTCATCTCCGAATTCATCAGGGGATTTTATAATTTGACCGTTGATTTTACTATCTTCTATGCTTGAAGTAACTGTGGTAACTTCTGAAGGAAGTCGGTCACCTCTAGATAGTATACGTGGTGCAATAATATTTGTATCTGACTCTTGTAAAGTGGATGGAAATTTGTTTGATTCCATATGCCGCATTCTTTTGCTGTATGCTCTGTTAGCAGAGAATGTTGCCAAATCCAAATCAAGATAATCAGAAATATGTTTCACTTTACGATTATTCTCTGAATCTGAGAAGCCATCAACGCTAGCAAGGATACCTAATATCTATAAAGACAGAACCAAACATTGGGTGATCCATAAAGCGAAAACAAGCAGAAGTAATTGTTTAAAAAAATGTATTGTATAATGAAGTGAACGTAATAACATTTAAATCTGATGATAAATTTTCTTAGCAACAGTAAAGTGCATTTAAACCATACTTAATTACCTTGTGACTAGTGTTCATATAACATTTAGTTTGGGCTACTGAAGTACAAGACATTTTTTCCGAAATGGAAAGAGCCTATTCTTTTTATTACCGTCTTCATTACATTTCTTATAAACGTAAGACGGACCATTTTTATAAGACCGAATTTTCTATTTATTATTACTACAATCTGTTTATTCAACCCCTCATCTTCTATCTTGTCACAATATCATAATTGTAACTTATGTAAGGTATTTATATGGTGTCCAATAGTACCAGTGTTAACATGTTGTAAATAGAAATTAATTACGAATACGCAAAGAACGGAAGTAAATAATGAAACATCTACTTAAAAATCTAGTTAATAAGAGATATCTAGTCGATGTGAACAAAATACCGAAAGTTATTTACTACATAACATCTGACCCAGATCCAGGTTACTTCTCAAATAAGTTAATTACGCAGTGGATTAGATATAAAAGCACGATATAACGCTTAGTGTTCGGAAACGATCCTGTTTAAAGATGTGAGTGAACAGCATATTTGGAGTATCGAGAGCCTCAGAAAAATATCTGTTATCATTAAAACTTCGTGAAAAACGTAGCAACAATTCACACCACTAAACTGTTCCAGTGAAAATTAAATTTATATTACAACAGTAGAATTTTCACTTTCAAAAAGTTCGAACCGTCTTCTCAACATGATATAAATTTATTGAGATATTGTATTTTTATGTAGCTTAATATGGACAGTGTGATAAATAAAATAAGCCAATATCCTAAGGTGACAATTTCCAGTTAGTTGCATTTTAAACAGACATTCGATAGAGAAAACAAGTAGATGTAGGAAGTGCGAATTGCCAAAATTCTCACAGATTACTGATAACCTTACGATTATTGCAAATGATGTGATAACTAGATTAGACTTACCGCTTTAGGCCATGGAAGTTCTGAGACTGGTTGGAGTAATTGGTAGATGAGATTGAAATAAATGCCTGAAGCACGATCTAACAATAAAACCAGTCGAAGTTTAAGTTCCATAGTAGAACATTTGGGAGATCCGCTATTTACAATTCCGGATAAACGTTGATGTAACTGGAAAACAAAAGTCATACCGAGCAGTTTTTAGACAGATTGGATTATAAAAGCGGTATTACAGATACACTTCGAGAATCGGGTGAATAGTAGATTTTTGTACTCTAATGAATGAAGAACTAGCAACCTTCTTAGACTTGTGTAGTATTAAACTGAAGGTCGGAAATGTCACATACAACCAGGAGTTGCTTGTCCACTACTAAAGTGAGAAGAGATAGAGCCTAAGTGTTGTTATCTCAATGGATAAATTACGCTATATATAGAAACGCGAAAATTCTGAAACTCAAGTTCAGGGACTGGAGAAGTAAAGGCTTGTTAGTTTGATGTGTATTGTTGGCTAACATGAGAACTTGTTGGAGAAATAAACAGCATTGGGTAGATACGGTATTAGTACTCGATGGCCAATGGCCTGACCGACATGCTTAAAATATAAAATGGTCATTTAGTTGGGTTGAACATCAGTTTTCACAAAAGGTTGACACACATTAAAAACCTTACCAAAGACTGTAGTGAGCTGATTTGTGTTTTGTACAGAACATTCCACATTTCTAACTCTATTTTTTGTTCAACGGCGAAGAGAGGAAAACGTATAATTAACTGAACAAATCTACTCTGCAATTCCACAAAATACTCATCCTGTGTGGCTGCAGAACTAGTATCTGGTGGTTTTTTGGCCAAGCTAGCTTTGAGGTCAGACCACATGCGTCGAGGATCTGCTTCGTTGCTCATAGTTGTGAAGTTGCAGTAACGCAAACAGACAAATACAGCACAACGTGTCGCATGATCAATAGACAATGTCCAATATATAACTGACGAACTTGTATAAAATAATTAATTTCTTTGTATTCGACTCTTGTTCTTATGGTGCGGCTCAAGGTATGTGACAGTGTCCAGTAGAAAGTAGTCTAGTCACTCTACTACGCTGATTCTAGTCAGTTGGCTGTCATTTCTGAATTTTTATGTCCCATGATTTACGTGAGTTTGTTTCAGGGCAGTAGGGATCATGGATACCAGCAGCTATCGTGTTACTGGGCCAAAGACCATTTGGTTGTAATATCGAGAATAATAGTGTGCAAGTATGCGATAGGTGGCTGAAATTCGATTTGTCTATATTATGTTGGTTGAGTGAATATGTCTTTAAGAATCTGTCAAGCCAGTTAGTTAAAAATGTTTATTCGGCTTTGAAGCCTGGTGTACTGCATTAGTCTTGACAGTTGTGATTCTTTATTTGATCATTATACCCTTTATACGAATCAATAGATGGCTTGGGAGAAACCAATTGCAAAAGAAATCTGGTGTTTTTCAGAAACTGAGATAACTTCGAATGTTATTTTCTAAAATTCTAATAAACGCGGTGTTTAGTTTAGTGAGTCAACAGCTTTTAGGTTTTATCTCATGCTTGTGCTGAAGGCATGATAGATGTGGCATTAATACAATCTTTCGGTAATCTACCGTTAGTTACAGTCAGACTGAAGAAAATGGTTGTGGGATTTGTCATAAGTCTGCTAGTTATTATACTGCTCTGGGTAATCATGTCCTACTGATTCACATCTATGAAACTAACTTTATTAATCGGAGGCATCGAGTACTGTAATGAATAAACGTCCACAGTGTGAGTGGGGACTTGCATAAACAGAGGATGAGGACAACTCTACGGTATATACATTGCTGATATAACTTGATAATACCTGAGCTTCATCATATTTGTCTTCCACTGATTGTGTAACACCGCCATCTCTCTGTAATGTTGTGATCGAGGCATAAGTATTTCAAGAATCCCAACGTTGATTCTGGTGACCAATCCACTGAAAATTCTCGGTTTCGGTCAGTCAGTCAGTTACAATCTAGAACTTCGAACATAAATACATACGTTCAGGTTGCCATACTCCATGAGCACAGAGACGCAATTGTCAGTTCAATTCCAACAGTGGTAGCGAAATTACAAGTATTAGCAGTAATGGAGAGGATTAAAGTTCGAAGAAATTATTTAAGAAGTTTAATTCAGTGGGGTAACTTAAGAAAGAGAAAGATAGAGGTGCTATGACTAGACCAGCGAGACCCCGGAAAGCAGCATCAGGGCTACCGGATACACGAAGAGTAAAGCGGGCTGCTTCTTTGTTTTGATAAGGTGAAATCAAATTAATGATTTTACTAGGATCCCGTATGCGCGTTTCCGAGACGTCGAATACATCGATTGAGTGAGATTCGAATGTCAAAGTTGAAGAAGCCTGTTGCCCTATTTGACACAATGTCCGTACATTAAATGCTCCAACATGTAATCTAGGACAGGGTTTCAGGATACCAGGAATGACGTTTTTTGAACCAGCATCGTTCGCATTAGCGGTACGGGGTGATAAAGGAATGTGAGAAGTGTAATACCTTGTTATTTCTTCCACATGTTGCATTAGGATGTATTTAATAACTACATCGACTTGCTTGCTTTAGGAAGAATTTACCGACAGTTCAGTATTTTGATTTTTTACAGTCTACAGTGGGTCAAAAAAGTTCTCTAAAGATTAATGTAAAACATTTGAAGAAGAAGAAGTAAGTTTGTCTGAAAAGGTTTTATCTATCCCAAAGTTTGAAGTGCGACAAAATGAATGAAGCAGTAAATTTATTTCTCATATTACAAGTGGCAGCTAACGATTTCTCCATAGCTTTATTTATTCAACTGTAACATGCACTGAGACAACGCACATCGAAATGCTAATATTATAGTATCACCATCCAATGACTCTGAACAATCAGTTGATTTTAGTGTTGTAGCAGGTCCATACCGATGATCAACATTGTCACATCTGCAACAACATGAATACAATGAATGTATTTGCGTAAACCCCTTTTAAGTTTTGACTGGTTTCAAGATTTTTGAAAAGTATGTAAATCCCCGAATATTCGTGACATTTTCATTCTTGAGCATGACCTGATCTGGTAAACAATAGGATAAATTGTCAGTCTGTTGTTTGTTGTAACGTAGTACATCTAAATATTTTCACACAGTATGAAAATAGATAGGTTTTCAGATTTTCTTTTGCTTTCAAATGTATATTATTCTTTGATATTGGAATACTCAAACTCGACTTTTATAAATTACATTCTAAAGCTGAATTTAAGCTTGTAAAGTTACCATTTAATAATTAATGATTACAGGAAATCTATAACCTTCATGTTCACCGACTTAAGACAAAACAGAGTACAATGGTGTGAAATTGAAGTAATCTGGTGCAACACGAATAATCCCAAAATAACTAGAATTTCAACAAGAAACAAGGAAAAACTGGGATCGGAAGTATGCAACATGAATTTGTAATTAGTTTATGTACATCAGATTTTCAGTTGTACAATTAACTTATTTATTGTGCACCATTTTTATTCAGTTGATAAACATGAAACCAGAAAAAATTATTGAAATTTCTTCATTTGTCATGACTAGACAGATTTCAAACACTATGTTACTCTCTCAATAATCGATCATTGACCAAATAGCATTGAAACTAATTATTGATAACCTCCAACATAATAACATATTATGAATTATTAAGGCCAGACAAATAATAACTACTTTCTCCTAGTCACCTATTTAAAACCAATGTAAAATATTTCACCATACAATAAGTAATTGCTTTAAATCTAATGAACTGTAGTTATTTTAGGAAATATACATAGTATCATTCAATCTTTGTCTTGTTGAAGATCGTTTCAAAGTATTCAGTCTATGACTGATATCACAGCCTCACACCCACTCACACATACAGAATAAATAACACGTGACCAGTATCATTAGTATAACCATTATTTTAGTAGAATAAAGTTTTATTCTTATTAAAAAAAGAATTTATAGATTATTAATACAAACTACATTTCTGATATAAGTTTGTATTCTATAAATTCCAATTATATGTGTATTTACAATTCTGAAGAGAAAAGTTATTTAACAGTTAAAAGTCACCGTTAATCTAATTGTTTGCCTAGTTGTATGTATGTATGTGTTACACTGAGTACATAATTAATATTGATGTTGTATTGTTTAAATTCATCATTACACCACATAAGAAAATATGTTCTATTTGAGAAAAATTTACTACATAATGAAGATAGCCATATTGAAAACTTTCCTGCGATTACTAAACACATACTTTTAGTACGCTATATCATTGATTTATACTTGTGAAATTCAAATGTCGTTTAAATCGTTTTCTCGCATACCATTAAAATTAATAGTTACAAAAAATTATGAAAGTGAGATTTAACGGTACTTACGAAGGTGAAACAGTTTGTAAATCATTGAGTCAATGTGATAGACATATGACCAAAAAGATTTTAAGTAGCAATTTTCTGGGAAACATAACAAGTGAATAATTTAACATTATTTAAACTCACAGCTAGATCTCTTGATAAGCAACTTCATTATCAACTTGGTCACCAGATAAATTTTAATTTTTTGAAATCATGAGTCGATCAATGTTAGACCACCATTAGAAACCTGGAAGCACTGGACGGCCGTTTCGTCCTGGTATGGGACTCGTCAGCAGTGCGCATCTTCGACTCCTGCCGCTCGCAGGATTCGAATACAGGACCTTTGGTCTTGCGCGATAACACCTAACCGCTGGATCACTGAGTGTTGGGGATGTTAGATCCCCAGAACTCGCTTGATAAATGCCTTATTTTGGATTTGACGTTTGCGAGCATGGGCTGATCAGTTGACCTTGAGATATCACTTCCCACAAGCAATATCCTTGGCTGTGATTGGCTGCTGTGTATTTTAGTGTGCTATTTTTGTGGCTGTCCCAAGGACGTTTCTATGATGTATAAATAAACAAGACTTATGTGCTTGATTGTATTGTGCTTGCTAGGTGTTTGTAGAATATACTTTCTACGCTAATCCCGAGTTCTGTTTTACCGTTTTCGGATCAAGGCAGCCTACCTGGACGATGGTTCATTGTCTCGTTCTAGTTTATCGATTAAGGTGAACCCGTAATAGCTTCAAACATACCTAGTGACGAACCTAACACTCAGCCAGTATCTAACTTTAATTTGTCGTTAGTAGTATGTTTTTAAATGTTAGAAGTAAATAAGAAATTTAATCATGTCGTCGGAATAGCATAATTTAACTTCGACAATTTGAACAACTTGGTAATCAGATCAATTAGGCTCAGCTTTGAAGGAAAGCGGCGTCATATAATTAGCACATTGATTTGAGAGGAATTAATTGGTTCATTTATGTTACCACTGGGAATATTTTGTCAAACAATCCTGAATCTTAATCTTAATTTGTCTATTATTTCTGCGCGATTAGTTCTACGATACGTAAAACCAAAAAATGCCAGCTACTTATCATGGTTCATTCAGATATCCCTTGGGTTGTTCTCGGTCAGATTACATGTTTTGTCACTAAACTAAAAACCTCCAATCGAGATTATTAAATGAAGTATTTAGTTTCTAGTAATTCTAAGTCAGATTAATTAAATGAGATTAAAATATTTTTCATAATAACTTTTGTCTAAATTTGAACGAAGCGATTTTTAAACTCACTTACTTACTAACATCTGTTATTTCCTAATGGTGCATAAGCTGCCAATCAAGAATCTTCAACCTGCTCTGTCCTTGGCCTTCCTTTCTACTTCCGTTCAACTGCTGTTCATTCTTTTCATGTCTGCTTCTGGTTCTCCGCTTAATGTGTTCCTTGGCTTTCCTGTTTTCAT